TAGCTCAATCCATATCAATAGAGGTTACAAATGGGGTTTGAAAACCCATCAAGCTATCCACCTCAGTCCCACCAGTACCCACTACAACAAATTTGTCAATTTATGACAAAATTTATATATGACGTTACGTATATCGTCACAAAACATACTATAATGTGACGTTTTTTATTTTCTTCATATTTATTGATTAATGGTATATCTTTTATGACAATTTTAAAAATGGTCATTGATTTTTGTCACTATATGTTTGGCGTCAAAATCTTCCCACCAAATTCTTTGGTGGGAAACCTTTTAATGACATTTAGATAAAATAATGACATTTTAAAATCGTCTCTAATGAAAAACATGTATTAGTGACGATTTATTATAATGATGATTTAATTTGAATTAGTGGAGTTGCACATTTATCACTAATAAATTTTATTCGTGACAATTTAATTTGTCATATTTTATAAGACACTAAAAGTAATATTTTATTATTGTCACAAAAATAGTTTTAGTATGAAAAAATCAATTATTTGTCATTTGTTTTTATCTCTCTTTTTTATATGATGATTTTAAAAGATGTCAAGAAATTATGTTAGTTAATGTTAAAAAATAAGATAATCTAACAACCTTATTAAATAATTCAATTTATAAAGTTTGTTTTGTGTTTTTTATTTTATTAACATGATTCTATATTAGATTATCTCATATTCAAATTTTTTTGAGTAAAACATAAAATAATAAATTGTTAAAAAGAAATGAACATATAATTTTTTATATATTATTGTACTTCTATGATTTTCATGATGTTACATCAAAATGTTTAGGAAAAAATAGATATTTATACTTGATCATAGAAATACCCATAAAGTTTTAGTATATTTAGATACATATAACATCAATAATTTTAAAATATAAAATATTACTCTTTTATATAAAAAAACTAATATTATAAAACAATTGTCATAAAAATTAAATTATAAAACTCTTAAATTATAAAAACAATAAGTTTCAACATAAATAACTTCAACTGTCTTTGTATAAAAAAATAAAAATACACAGTTCATACATAAATAACATAGCTACAAAATAGGTTCTATATCAGTATCATATTCATCACATTCAATTTCATCCCCTCCAATGTCATCTTCACTCTCTTGATCACTGTCAACCAAAACATTCACATTATCTACAATACCACAGTTAATAATAGTTGTTGTAATGTCATCCCTATGCAAAGATATATTTGTTGAAAACTGCATTTCCATATCGCAATCATAAATTTCAAAATCTTCATCAACATTAGAGACTTTGTCGTTTTCAACAATTTGCATCTCTGGAACATCATATATGTCTATGGTGAAACTTTTGAATTACTCTCCAATCTTTCCCTAACTTGGTATCATCCAAATAAAAAACATGCTTAGCTTGAACTGCCAAGATAAAAGTGTCACTTTCATACCAACATTTGCTAATATTGACCCTTAGCAAATGATTGACTTTGTGAATTATCCTCTTTTTATCACCCAAGTCAAACCACTTGCACTTGAACAAAACAACTTTATAATCATTGGTATACTTCAACTGAATAATATCATCCAGTTCACCATAAAAGTTGATTTGGTCCTCATTGTGATTACCTTCAACTGTCACTCCACTATTTTGACTTGTCAAATGTTCATCACGGGCTATAGTGTAGAACCTAACCCCATTAAAAATGCAACCTATGTATTTTTTAGCACGTCTATCAAGACCATAAGCTAAAGAAAGCAATTCACTAAATATTCTTTCTGAACCTTGATTGGTAAACTGTAATTTACATGAAATAAAATAAACATAAATTATAATCGATATTTGCACAATCTAGAAAACATTTATAATAGCATATACTTACATAATTTTTAAACCATAAGGGAAATTGTTCTCTATGTCTTTCTTTAATATACAACGAACTCTGCAAATGAATCTCCATTTTATGTTTTCTGTTTTAATAAACATAATATAAGTTAAATGACATTAAAAGTAAATCTTACATGAATGAGTAAATGGCAAGTAAATTACTTACTCCATAAATGGTTCAACTTCATCACAATTTGTCAATATATACCATTGCATCATTTCAAACTCTTGGTCAAACAAGAATTCATATTTTGTACTTCCTAAAGAACGAAAACTTCCTGAAAAAATGAGGAGACTATGATTATGAAATTCTTTCCCCCATCATCATCATCATCATCATCATTTCTGTCTTGTTGATTAAATTTAGTCTCAATCCCAGAGAGATACATAGAACAAAAGTTCAGACATTCGGTTGAAATATATGACTCTGCTATACATCCTTCCGGATGAGCCTTGTTTCGTGTTTATGTTTTAAGCTTACCTAAAAACCTATTATATACAAAAAAAACTTGGTATGAAAAAATAATTTTATAATATTATAATTTAATTTAAAATATAAAAATTAAAGAATTACCTCTCAATATGATACATCCATCGATAATGTACAGGTCCCCTAAGCATGACTTCACGAGGCAAGTGTATAATTAAATGTACCATCACATCAAAAAAACGTTTAGGAAAAATCATTTCCAACTTGCACAAAATGATGGCACTATTCTTTTGTAAGTCTTCTACTTTATTCTTCTTTAGCGTCTTACAACATAATCTTAAAAAAAAGTTTCCAAGTTTATCTAGTGTTTGAAACACATCTTTTGGAACGAAATCCCTAATGGCAACTAGAATCAATCTTTGCAAAAGGATATGACAATCATGACTCTTCAACCCTGAAATCTTACCATCATTTACATTAACGCATTGTGAGATGTTCAACGCATATCTATCAGGAAACTTTAATGACTTCAGAAAACAACAAAACTTTTTCCTTTCCTCCTTTGACAGAGTGTAACATGAATGAGGCATCAAGTAAGAACCATCTTCTTTTTTTAAAATGTAATTCTTTCTTGATTTTCATGTCCTCAAGATCTAATCTTGCAATTACAATTTCTTTTATTTTTCCTTCAATGTTCAACATCGTTCCTAAAATGTTATCACATATGTTCTTCTCAATATGCATGACATCTAGATTGTATCATAACTTCATTGTTTTCCAGTAAGCCAGCTCAAAGAATATGCTTTTCTTTGTCCAATTCAACTCTTCAGGTATATGTTTCCTCTTCAATTTATTCGGATATTTCCCAAAGTCATTCTCTTTGAGACAATTTAGTTGTTGTAACAACTCAATCCTAAATACATCTTTCAGCTTTGATCTGTTTTCTATCTTACCATCAAACATTCTACGTTTTCTCCAAACATGATTATGAGGTAGAAAACGACGATGAAACATGTAACATATCTTATTTCTCAACTTTTGTGACACCTCATCAACGTTACAAATGGGACATGCCAAATATCCTTTTGTACTCCAACCTGATAAATCCCCATAAGCAGGAAAATCATTTATAGTCCAAAGAACATCTGCATACAATTGAAAATGCTCATTCTTGTAAGCATCATAAGTCCACACTTTATTTTTTCATAAATCTTTCAGTTCATTTATCAATGGCCTTAAATAGACATCAATATCTTTTCCAGGAGAGTTTCTTCTAGGAATAAGTAATGACATCATCATGAATGGCTCTGTCATACATTTCCAAGGAGGAAGATTATACGGAATAACAATAATTGGCCAATTACAATATGTACAACTCATATTCCCAAATTGATTGAATTCATCAGTTGCTAGGCCAAGCCTAACATTTCTCGGATCACTTGCAAACCATTCATTCTCCTTGTTGAAACCTTTCCAAGCATCTTCATCCGTCGAATGCCTTAATGTATCATCATCAACACGTTTTTTTGCGTACCACTGCATATCTTGTGCTATGCTCTTTTTCATAAACAATCATTGGAGTCTTGGTTTTAGCGGAAAATAATGTTGAACTTTCCATCGTATTTTTTTCTCAAGAACCTTCCACCGTGACGTTCCACATTTCAGGAAACTTTGTCTATCTTTGAACTCTCCCCAAAATAGAGCACAATCATATCTGCATGCATGAATTGGTATGTAACTAAGTCCTATTTCTCTCATAACTTTAACTGCATCATAATATGATGCTGGAATTGTACTATTTGGAAAAGCCTCTCTCAATAGTCCCAATATCATATTTATTGCTTTGTTACTCATTTGGAAGTAAGCCTTGATATGTAACAATTTAACAATAAAAGACAATGTAGACATGCTTGAATATCCTGGTAATAAGACACGTTGTGCGTCATTCAACACATTGCTGAAACTTTTACCTTCTTTTTCACCTTCACTGAAATTAAAACCTTGATTTGTTTGATCTTCATTTAATATGGGGAACAAATATCCTAATAAATCATTTAATCCATCATCTAATACTTCAGCATCATGAGATATACCCTCATTAAATGGATCACTCCTACCAATAAAATCAAATTGCTCACCTTGATAAACCCATTTGGTATAACTTCCTGAAATACCTTTTAAAAGTAAATGATCGTCCACCTCATTCTGAGTTCTAACACATACATTTACGTATTCCCGACAAGGACATCGAATTTTACATTCTGATCCCATATTGCTTTTAAAAAATTTCATGAAAGATGAAACACGTACAACATAGTTCGCAGAATATTTGGACTCCATCATCCAACTTTTATCCATGGTGTTAAATTATCCTAGTACAAAATAAAAAATATATATATAAGAGGTTAAGTACAAGATCAAATAGTTAAATTAGAAAAAAACATGAATTTAGAATTAAAACATGAGCATAGTTAAAACAACATAATACAATTTCGCAATAATATAGATCACATGTGAAACAACCATTGTTTTGGCAGTGTACATGACAATTGGCAACATTACCTTCAGTTCTCGGCAAGGGAACAACTTTCACAAGGGAATAATATGAAGTTCGTGAGGCATGAAATCTTCACTTGGACTATAGTATTTGTCCAGGGAATACAAGCTTAAGTTGGAGACAATCCTCTTGAACCTGCTGATGAGCAAGACGAACTTGATCCCTTCGAGACTGTTAAAAAGGGACGATTGAAATTGATATCATTATCTGTCACTACTAATAAAAATAAATCAAGGTCTAAAGGCCTAACCTCCAAATCACCCAGAGTTGAAATCATATTCTGCTTTTCATCATCACGAAGACTTTCAAATCTAAGTAGCAAGAACAACTCTTTGCTAAAATGAGAATGAAAGGAAAAGGAACCAAAACAAATAATAATAACAAAATTTACTAAAGCAAAGATTAAAATTCTCGATTGTACTAATGATTTGAAATTTTGAAGTGAATATTTAATGAAGATATCAAACCAGGGTTCCAAGATAGAATTATTCACTTTGTCATTATGTGTGAAAACAGGGGTAGTGATACTAAAGACATCATTAAGGGGTATTCAAATTGATGACATCAATTTGAATGATCAAATCATAAAATCAGTACTTACTTGAGAGATCACTTCAAATGATGAACTTAGTCTTCAACAAGATCACGCTCGTTCCTCAACGACCTTAATTGTTGCATGAACGTACATGTATCGGTTGCAAGGAATTAAAATGCTATTATAAAACAGGAACGTGGTAAGAGTTCTCATGCTTTAAAACTTCTACATGTTTTGGGCTGAATTCCCCTCAAATCTTACCAAACAGATAGATGAACCATGAGATAATATAGATATGGACTAACGAATTCTTATCAAATCAAAAATAGAATATCGTCCAAGTTATGCCACTTGTATGGTTATAACACATTCTTCTTAATGAATTAAAGTTTTACAATAAATTACCCAAACAGTCCCATACAAAATTTAAATTCCATGACAAACATCAAACATGTAAATCCACCTTTCGCTTATCTCTTGATTCCCAAAGCAATTCAACCTCCCTCTCAAGCTCTGGAACAACAAGCATTGTCCTCCATCCTAATCATAGAAAAATTACAGAATTCAAAGCTCTTATGAATCAAGAAAAACAATGTCAACATTAGGGATTTGCACAAATGATCAATTTAATACACTCAGTTTCGTGGCTAGTAGTTGGTATGACAGATGGAAGTAAGTCAATGGTTTGTTTTTCAATAATGCATTCCCTCATTTGAAGAGAATAAAATGGCTGAAACTTCAACATGTCATTTGAATAACATACTTTTGAAACTTCACACTACTTGCAAAAAAAATGGCTCAGTCAATCAACCGAGTCGGATATCAACCGACTTACAGAATCTTCAAATCGGAGTTTAGTGAGATTTGAATCTTGAAACTACTGTTTCTTGCATATAAAAAACTGACGGGCACTGAGTATAAGCACATGCGTTAGAAGATAGGACATGGACTTGGTCAGTGACAGAAAATAAATATAAAAAGAATTACCTGGTTAGCTTTCAGAGGTCAAATCTAGAGAGCAAAAGATAAACCAAATATTCAAGTAGATGTCGTTTTTGTATGCTTTATATCACAACATTATAGCAAGTAGCAAATAATTCAACATACCTGTTCTTGGATAAACAAGGCAGAAGAATAAATCACGTTCTTTAATTTGAACCTTTTTGGAGCAACACAAACCTAAAAAACCCCAATTGATGGCTCCACAAGAATAACACAGATTCCCGATAAGCATATAAACTGTTAGACACAACAAATATACATAGAAAGTAAGTTAATTAAAAAAATCTTTAATATTCAATCCAAAAAAAATTCTTTAAAATATATTAATAAATTATTTAATATATAGAAAGTAAGTTAGTAAATTATTTAAAATATATTAATAAATTATTTAATTATTTAATATATAGTTGTTAAATTAATATAAATTATGATGTATATCGAAATCGGTGAAAATGACATATATAAAAAGTAAGTTAATTATAGTTAGGGTGAGTGCTTGACAGAGTCAAGTCAAAAAAATTTGACCTATTCAAGTTGACGAGTTATATTTTACAACTCAACTCACATTTAAAGTTTTTTTTTTGAGTTATTCGAGTTATTATTTGAGTTCTATTTATAATTAAACTTGATTTTGAAATCTTTTAAGTTGAGTTAAGTCTATAAACTTATTAGTTGAGTTTTTTTTCTAGTCGAACTAATTTGAAAAGATCAATTTTTGAGTCGAATTGAGTTCTATTCACACCTAATTATAGCATGTGTTCGGACTATGAGTGTTAATAGATTCAAATCGTCCACTATTTATTCAATAATTGTTGGATACAACATAAAAGTATATAACTTTTATTCATATTGTGTGTTACTTATGAGCTTTCCTTAGCAACACGTACAATTGATTCTATTATTTTTTGGTACAATAAAGTTTAGGTTAGGGGTAACACCCCAGTCTAGGGTCAGGGCATACATAAGATCCAATTGAGATATACATAGGAATTTACAAATTTCCCACCAAGAGTGATGGCGGTAGGATTCAAATTTGGCCTTACAAGCTCAAATTCATGAATCTCAACCACTTGTACCAACTCTCATTTGCATCGATCATATTATTTTAAATTCTACATATTTTTAATTAATTTAAAAATAATATAATAAGAAATAAATATAATTAATACGGTTATTTATAGTACAATCAATTTAGGGTTTTAATAATCTTATACTTCATATAAGATACAATAAAAATCATACAATTATTTATAATTCTCATACACATGTATACGCTTTGAATTATTTTTTAGGATTATTCTTGCTTGGTCCAACCTAGGCCAAACCATTCAGCGGTGGTTAGAAAAACAAAGGAAAAACTTCAGTGCTGCAGCTCCTTGATGTCCTTATAGCATGTACGCTTACCTTCTTAGGTGTCTTTTGATCCTCATCTGAACTTTCTTCTCCACTGGCATCCTCATCACTGCTGGTATCAACATCACTTTCCTTCTCACCATTAATTGGATTATTTATTTATTATGAAATAGTTAAAAATAGTATTTACTTCAATTATTTTATACTTTTAATATTTTTAAAGAGAAATATTCTTACTATTTTAAATTTATCTAAATTTTCTATATTTTTCTAATTTTTAATAATTATGTTGAATATATTGGAGGTAATTTTCAACTTCCCTCCAAATAAAAATTACGTTCCCTCTAATAAAATTGAATATTCCTTACACATAGCAAGATTTTTTCTCATTCATAATATGTGTATTTGACTTACTTTAGAGTTAAGAATACCATCAATTGGGGTTATTTCTAGGTTTGTGTTGCTCCAAAAAGATTCAAATTAAAGAACGGGATTTATTCTTCTGCCTTGTTTATCCAAGAACAGGTATGTTGAATTATTTGCTACTTGCTATAATGTTGTGATATAAAGCATACAGAAACTGTATCTACTTGAATATTTGGTTTATCTTTTGCGCTCTGGATTTGACTTCTGAAAGCTAACCAGGTAATTCTTTTTTATATTTATTTTCTTTCACTGACCAAGTCCATGTCCTATCTTCTAACGCATGTGCTTATACTCAGTGCCCGTCAGTTTTTTTATATGCAAGAAACAGTCTATTTACATATATGATTTAAGTATATATGTCGATGCAATCCCTAAGAAATCACTAGATTATATATGTGTTCGTTGGCTCAAATCCAACCTGTAGCACCTTTTATTAAATCGTTGCTATGTTTTTATTAATAATGATAGGGCCTTAATCACATTCATGAACTTATATAATTCACTGTTATGGGGTAGGATATGAACAGTCCATGCGCCCAAGGTTATTTCCAAAACATATTGAAACTTTAAAATTCACTGCTATGGGGTAGGATATGAATGGTACTGCTATGGGGTAGGATATGAATATGTTTTGAATCTCATAGCAGTGAATTAATTCAAACTTGGCTTAGATCATACAAAATAAAACACATTCATGAACTTATATAATTCACTATTGGTGACCTTAATCACATGGGAAATCATATTTCAAGCAAACCTATATGGAGGAATGTCACGTGTAATTTATATAAATTCAATAGTACTGTTTTGATTAATTGGCTCTAAATATAATATTTATTTTATTTTTTATTAAACACAAATGGTAGCAGTATATACAACTAGACATTTAGCAGTATTCTGATCTCATTGCTAATATATATTACTTATAATATTTTTTATATGTTTTAGGATGGCACCAGGCAAAGTATCTCGTAAAAGGTTTCGAACACAAGAAAATGAAACTCAAGAAGTCTCCAGTAAACTAAATCGAACCCAAGAATCTGAACATCAACAAGTTACTGATGCTCCAAATCAAACACATGAAGAAATTGATCCATATACAACAATTGAAAATTCAGGTAAACATTATTTCCAATTTTTATATAAATGAATAACAAATGAGGATTGAGTAGTACCAATGATATAGTTAAAAAATATAAAATAAAATAAAAATATGTATATATACATATTATTTTCTTTGTAACAAAGTCTTTGACTTTAATGTTGAATAATTTATTTATTTTTTTATTATTCCAAAATTAATATTTTTATTCTATAGATTCAACAAATTTATCATATAAAAAGGTACGAGGACCAAGTCGAGGTAAGGGACTAGAAAATCTCATGAAAGGTAAGAATAAGTTGATAGTAGAGATACCAGAGGGAAAGGGTCAACCTATTGATGCAGTTTAATCAGCCAAATTATCTTCTGAAATTGGAATCATTTCACGACAATTCATATTAATACCAACAAAATGGAAGGATATGAAGGATAATGATAAACTTCATGCCATAGAGAGACTCAAAGTGAGTTTATTTAGTTTAATATTTCTTTTTTTTAATATTTATGTACTTAATTTATCTAATTGTATATTTTTTTAATGTTTTAGTCAAAGTTGGATATGAATTTAGATGATGATTATGTGAAGAGCTCTGTCATGTTAATTATGTCAAAGTTATCAAGAACCATCGACATAAGGTTCATTTGCACTTTAAGAAATTCTCAAATGATGTTGTGGCACGCCAAACAAGCTGACACAAAATAACTTGACACAAGAAAATTGGGAACAACTTTGTGATTTGTTTAGTGATCCTGAATATCAGGTATGATTATTGTATTTTGATTTATGTGATTCATAAATTTTTACTCTTTTTATTTCTATAATAAATTATAAATTATGTTTATACATGTTTTTAATTGAAGAGGAAGTGTGAAACTAATGCAAGAGTTAGAAGAAATGTCAAGTTAACTCCTAATCAAGGATCTCGGGCTTTTGTCGCTAGCCGATATGCTATGGTAAGTTGGACACTTTTGATATTTATTATAAAGTTTATTTTTATTTTAAAGTCTAATTTTTATTTTTGAAATCATATAGCGCAATGATGATGAAGAACCAAATAAGATGGATTTCTTCAAGGCAACACATTATTCAAATGACAAAGGATGGAAAACATATGAGGCACAAGCAAAATATGTAAGACCTCACAAAATTAAGTATTAAATTGTAATTTTTCATCTAAGGATTATTTTATATATGAATGAATTTTTTTAGGAGAAAATGGTGGAGTTGCAATCAACTCCAGTTAAAGAAGGAGTAGAACCTAAGAATATTGATGATATAATGGATGAGGTACTTGGTACGAGACCAGGATACATTTTGGGGTTTGGATATGGGACAAAGCCTAATAAAACAAATTCAAGTGCAGATACAATCGAGTTAAAAAAGAGTTTGAAGAATAAATAAGATGAAATTAATAACTATAAGTCGAATTTTGAATTGATTCAAACTCAAATGGAAGCTATGATATCTGTTTTGTTAGTTGTTGGAATTCAAGTGACATCACTTCAATTTTCAGGTAAACATATAGTTAATAAAATAAAATTTATTATATAATATTAATTATAGTAACTAATGTTGATTATTTTAATTTGTAGCTTCAAATGATACCATGAACTCAATATCAACAGAATCACAACTGACTCAAGGTTTGGATTGAAACTGCTACAACAAAATATTCCACAAGTCATATTATTATCATAGTTTTTTTATTTTATGTAAACATTTAAACATTTTTATATTTATAAAAATGAAATTATTATGTTTTTAGTGAAATATTTGTTTAAATCTTATTATTTTGCAATAAGTGAAATATATATTTTTATTTAGATTTGTATAAATAATTTTATTTTAATATATAGTCATTAAAAATGTGACAAATTTTAGTTTTTCCACTATATTGGTGACATTATATATGGTGACATTATGCATAATCATCATTCATAATATTATTAGGTAACAATATATTATGTCACTAAAAATGTGACAATATCTCTTTCACCACATATAAGTTGATTTTAATGTATTATTTGTGACAATATAAATTATCAATAACGAAATCTTATTTAATTTAGTGACGTAACCAACTGTCATAGAATATAAATTATAAAGTGACATTATGCATAAATGTCATTCATAATATTATTAAGTAACATTTATATTATGTCACTAAAAATTTGACAATATCTCTTTCGTCACATATTGGTTGATTTTAATGTATTATCCGTGACGATATAAATCATCAATAATGAAATTTTACATAATTTAGTGACATAATTAGTTGTCATTGAATATTAATTATATAGTGACGTTATATATAAATGTCATCCATGCAACTATTAGGTGACTATATACTACGTTACTAACAATGTAACAAATTTCTTTTTGTCACGTATACAATGAAATTATTGTGTTATTGGTGACAATATGATTTATTAATGACGAAAATGTACATCATTTGGTGACAAAAGTAATTGTCATTGAAGGGCAAATTAAACTGTGATGTTATCCATTAGCGTCACTATATATTTAACAATACATGACGATAACACATACATCGTCACTTTTGACATTTACTGACACACCTAGGGTGACGATCGTTGTGACATTGACTTTTATGTCACAAAATACATCTAGTGACATAAATTGAAGTTTAGTGACTATAACCTAGATGCCACTAATAAGAAAATTTGTTGTTGTGACCACACTTATTTTTCGTAGATGACCTAATTCTATTTGCGGAAACTGATATATCACAGTGAAGAATCATGAGCAAAACACTCCAAGATTTCTACCTTGCTTCGGGTCAAAAGGTAAGCATGACCAAACCAACATGTTTTTCTCCAATAATATCCCTACACAGATTCGTAACACAATAAGCGGCCAACTAGGCTTTAAAGAAGCTGATGATCTAAGGAGATATTTGGGAGTACCCATTATCCACAAAAGAGTCACAAAGACCACTTATGATCAGATTATCTAGAAAATTCGAAATCGTCTCTCAGGGTGGAAAGTTACCTCACTATCACTAGCAGGAAGGATTATGTTAGCTAAATCAGCCCTCTCATCAATACCATACTATGCTATGCAATCCACCTTACTTCCCAAAGGTGTAGTCGACGAAATTGAACGTCTAATTAGAAGCTTCATATGGGGTATAACAGCCGAAAGAGGAGGAATACATCTAGTAAATTGGAACTCTCTCTGCATGCCGATACATGAGGGAGGACAGGGCCTAAAACACATGAGAAAACAGAATGAGGCCTTTCAAATGAAACTAGCATATAAACTACTCACGAGAACTGATCTACTCTGGGTACAAGTCTTGCGCGACAAATACAAACTCGGAGAGAATCTTCCATCCACCCTACCGAATAGATGTGGATCATACCTATAGAGGGGTCTGGTGTCTATTTGGCCATCCTTCAAAGCCAATCTAACATGGAATGTGGGAAATGGCAAAAACATAGAATTTTGGAACGACAACTGGCTTGATGACATAGGCCCTCTACACGACCAATGCACCAGTCCTGATCTAATCGAAGACCGCTCAGCCAAAGTTCACGATCTGATAACCGGAGAGGGCCACTGGAACGCTTTTACCAGCCTCTTATCAATTAAAGCGATACAGTCATTAGATGCCTTCCCACCACCGATCGATGATAACCAACGTGACACACCAGGATGGAAGTACTCCAAGAATCATCGCTTCACCATTGGTAATGAATCAAGAGATGAAAGGGAAACCATCTGCAAAATAATCTCAAAACATCAAAGTCTCCCAAGAATTAGAACCTTTCTCTAGCTTGTATGCAAGTAGCGTTTTTTTAACGAACGAGGAACGAGTTTGAAGGCACATGACATGAGATTATGCTTGTTCATCATGTGGAGAATCAATCGAGGACATCAACTGCATACTTAGAACTTGCCCATCAACTGCATACTTAGAACTTGCCCGAATGCAATAAGAGTCTGGGAACAACTGATTAACCCAAAAGACTTGATTCAATTTCTTAGCATGGATATGAACACATGGATCAATGATAATCTGAAAACCACCATCTCGCCATCACAAGAGAAAACAAACTGGAGCACATTTTTCAGTACAACTCTATGGATACTCTGGGATAACACGAATCGTTCCGTCTTTGACACAGAATTGATTGAGAGAGAAACGATTATAGAGAAAGCAAAGAGATTAACGCAGGACATATCCAACACAAGGTTTTCCAAAAGCGAGAAGGTTAAATCCATCCCAGGAGAACACGACGAACTGGTCACAACCGGAAACCCATTGGTGCAAAGTGAACGTTGATGCTGCCAGACAAAATAGGACATGCGAAGCAACGTGTGGTGGACTTGCCCGTAATCACAAAGGCGAATGGATTTATGGTTTTACAAGAAAGATAGGTTACTGCCCATCGTTAGTCGCAGAGCTTTGGGGAATCCTTGACGGCCTCCAAATAGCATGGGACAATGGAGAGAAGAAGGTTATACTGGAAGCTGATTGCTCGGAAGCCATTCCATTCAAATGATAAAAAGAACCATCGAGAGAAGGAAGAAATTTGACCATCTTGCAACACATAGACAGACTCCTGGCAAAAGAATGGGTAGTCACCTTCAGATGCGTCCCAAGAGAGGTGAATAAAGCAGCAGACGAAATGGCGAAGTGTGCCTGAAACCTCCAACTCAGCTTCAAGAAGTGCTCCCACCCACCAGGAGAAGTAGTTGAAAGAGTTCGAGCAGAAGAAATTCATACAGGTAGACAGTAATTAGCTGTTACCTTTTCGGAACCAATAAAATAAAGAAAAAATTATATTCTATATCTATAATTCATCTCGAATCATTTAAATTTTTTATATAATGCTTAAATTACTCTCCCTCAATAGAGATGAATCAAATTTTCTATTTAACTACCTTATAATTATATGATTTCTTAAAATTACAAAAAGAAATTTTCACATTAGGTCTCTGTCTCTCCCTCCAATTCATAAATCAAAGTATATTAAAATATAATTTTAAAAAAGGCAATGCTTATTTTGTCAATGGCAGAAAAAGGAAAATAATAACTAAAAATAATTAAATATTTCTAGATTATTCAAGGAAATAATATTTATTATTATATTTATATAATATATCTACAATTCATCTTGAGTCATTTAAATATTCTTTGATATAATGTTTAAATTATTTATTATTTTTAAAAGTATTTTTTATATTGGATTACTTTATAATTATATAATTTCTTAAGCGATAACAAGATCATTGCTCCTCTCCACTCTCATGTAAAAAGGATATTATGCATTTCAGAATTTTTAAATTCACATCTTATAGAACAAATAAATTTGGTCGGTTGGTCAAACTGCGCATCATTATTCCCTTATATTTGATCAGTTAATTAATTGTTCATATTTTCCTTAGTCATTTGATCTTGGCCAAACTAAACTTTCTTTTAAATATATGTAATTCGTACTCTTTTATATTTCTATAATAAATTAGATAAACTAAAGTTTATTTTATATTTCTATAATAAATCGAATAAAATAAAATTTATTCAAAGAATATTTGAATCATTTAATAAAAAAGACTAAATGATCTTGTAAATAAATTAAATTCTTTTAGGATTTTTGGAACAAAAGTTTTTAAGATAAATATTGAGATTCAAACCCGCGTCAAGTCAAGTGAGATGATATGAACGTCCTTAACCACTCGATTAATTAATGGATCTCGAATAATCTTTTATATATTTGTTACATTTTGAATTAAAAATAATTATTTAATTTAGTTCCCATTCAATAATATTATGTACTAAAAACATGTAGTTAATTTTTGGTAAATCAGACTATTCTTTCCACTAACTTAACGTTTTCTTTAAAAAAAATATTTTTATTACTTTTTTTTTTGGTAAATCACTAGTCATTTTGTAAGTTCGAATTAGAAAAAGAGTAAACAAGCCGTTAATGCTAGTGAAAATGACAACAAAGATCATTATAATCCTAATAAAACGGTGTCAGTTGAAGATGATTTTTTTTAATAAACTTATGGTGAGTATAAAATAGTATATGTTCAAAGACTCTTAATCATTTACTAATGAATACTCGTACGTTTTACATTGTATTTTAGTGATGGTGGAATGGTGATTGTTGTGAGATAGTAGTTGTGAATCCAAGTCCAACAAACAAGACAACT